CCGCTCCCCCGTGTGGATCAATACATGTGTGGTGAGCCCTTTTCGTAGAGTGAACTGTGCTGCGGAGGTGGAACAGCCATGCGACCGTTTCTCCGTGTGAATGCGCATGTGTACGTTGAGCTTTCCTTGCGTAAAGAACCTGGACGAGCACTTATCGCACTGGTACGGCCGCTCCTCAGCGTGAATGCTTAGGGGAGAGTGGGGCAATGGCGACACCATAAGCATTTTGCTCAATAGCTTAGCTATTTGAAGCTATTTTATGGTGATTTTGACTGTGGTTATAGCCAAAGGAATAGGCTTTCAGATAGCACCCAGTTTTAGTATCTCAGATCACTGATGACAGATTCAGAGCCTACGCGAAAATGTGGTGAAAAATGGAGGTGCAAAAAAGCGAGGGGTAATGCCGGCCACTAAGTGCAATAGCACAAAAGTCGAAATATCGTCACTGGTATTTATCCTTAAACCGTTCTTTCGATGGAAATTTAAGTGAGAATTAAGAAACGACAACTGTATTCAGCAGTTAACAGTACACTGCACCGCAACACAACACTGCACTCGCTGCAACACAACAGCGCGGCGCCAACAGAGCAGCAAACTAACACAACCGTAAACACAGCAAGCAAACTAGCACAGCCGTAAACAGAGCAACCCGAAACGTTGAGCTTTAACGACAGAAGTCGCAAACAAAACCGCGTGGGGTCATTCCGGACACGTGTCCGGTATTACCCCGAGGTCAGCTTTATTTTAAGAAAGCAGGCAGCAGTCAAAGGCATTGCGCCGCAAACGCCTCACATCCAGCAATCGCATAAGAAAGGCTTAATTGAAGGTCATTGCAAAGCAGCACTTCTGAAAATGCGTTAACACATTTCACAGTCAGCAAATAGATGCAACAAAAATTAAAAATCAGATACGAAAAACACATTTAACGCTATAAAAATGAAAATAATGGAGCTACCGTGACAAACTTGCACCACGTGCTAGAATGGCGCTCAACTGAAATGTAAACATTATCAGCTGATTAGTGATGGACAAAGTACTCACTAGAGATGGGTGGCCGGTATTACCCACCGTCCGCCATTGCCCCACTCTCCCCTATGTGTTTGTTGAGATTTGCTCGCGTAATGAACCTGGACGAGCACTTATCGCACTGGTACGGCCGCTCCCCCGTGTGAGTACGCATGTGTACGTTGAGATTTGTTTCCGTAAAGAACCTGGACGGGCACTTATCGCACTGGTACGGCAGCACCTCAGCGTGAATCCGCATGTGTGTGTTGAGATGTGTTTCCGTAAAGAACCTGGACGGGCACTTATCGCACTGGTATGGCCGCTCTTCAGTGTGAGTCCGCATGTGTACGTTGAGATTTGTTTCCATAAAGAACCTGGACGGGCACTTATCGCACTGGTATGGCCGCTCCTCAGTGTGAGTCCGAATGTGTTTGTTGAGATTTGTTTCCGTAAAGAACCTGGACGGGCACTTATCGCACTGGTATGGCCGCTCCTCAGTGTGAGTCCGTATGTGTTTGTTGAGATTTGATCGCGTAAAGAACCTGGTCGGGCACTTATCGCACCGGTACGGCCGCTCCCTCGTGTGGCTCCGCATATGTTTGGTGAGGCTTCTTGGTAGACAGAACTGTGCTGTGTAGATGGAACAGCCGTGCGACCGCTTCTCCGCGTGAGTTCGCATATGTTCGTTGAAATTTGATCGCGTTAAGAACCTGGACGGGCACTTATCGCACTGGTACGGTCGCTCCTCAGTGTGAGTCCGTATGTGTTTGTTGAGATTTGATCGCGTAAAGAACCTGGACGGGCACTTATCGCACTGGTACGGCCGCTCCCCCGTGTGAGTCCGCATGTGTACGTTGAGATTTGATCGCGTAAAGAACCTGGACGGACACTTATCGCACTGGTACGGCCGCTCCCCCGTGTGAGTCCGCATGTGTTCGTTGAGATTTGATCGCGTAAAGAACCTGGACGGACACTTATCGCACTTGTACTGCTTCTCCCTGGGGTGAGTCCGCATATGTGCTTTCAGGTCTGCCTGTTGTGTGAACCGTGCCGGGCAGATAGAGCAGACGTACGGCCGGGCCTCCGAGTGCAACCGAGCATGCCTGACTAAATGAGATCGTTTCAAGAAACTGGACGGACATACATCGCACTGGTACGGCCGCTCCCCCACATGAATACTCATGTGGTCTTTGAGGTTTGACCGGTCAGCAAACCGTGCTGGGCAGATGGAGCAACGGAACGGCCGCTCTCCTGTGTGCGTTCGCATATGTTTGTTAAGGGTTCCTCGTTTTGTGAATCGTGCCGGACAGACGGAGCAGCCGTGCCGCCGCTCCCCCGTGTGGGTCCTACGGTGTTCCCTCAGATGACCAGGCTGTTCAGCGGAGTACTGGCACCACTCGCACTGGAATCGGCCCTTGTTACCAAGGTGACGGTGCCGCGTCTTTAAGTGTTTATCCAGACGCTTTTGTCCCAAACAGTTGAAGTCGCAGTGGGGACACTGAAGTGTACTACCTGTAAGACAAAGACATACGTATGAGCAGGGGCGTTGCCACAGATTTTTGACTGGGGGGGGGGGGGCGGATCGGCTGACCTAAACTTTCAGGTGGTGGTGGTGGGGGTGCCTTCCCCCTTTAGTTTTTTTCTTCAATATATCTCCAGAACCCCTGCGCCGATCGTCACCAAACTTTCAGTACCCTCCCGTGAATGGCCATTGCACATTGTGGCCAAAAAAAAAATCCAAAGGCTATGATAGACTGGCCGCTAATGACGTCAGAGTGACGTCATTTTTGCCATTTTCGACAAAAAAAAGGTTTCGCGGGAAGAGCTGTCAGGCCTACAGCTTTAGAGATACAGAAAAATGTTTCAGACATAAAAGGTGTAGAACTAAGAATGCTTCAAAACTATCTCAAATTTTCGAAATTTTCGGATTTTGACCCCAAAATAAAAAAAGGTTTTTATCATATAATAGCCGAAAAATAAAAAAAGCGGAATACATGTGATAGTCCCTACCGGCCTTCTATCTACATACCAAATTTGAGATCAATACCTTTTTTGGCCAAATTATAGCGAAAATACTGTTCAAAATTGATGAAGTCATATTTTCAAACTCAATTTTTAGTAATTCTAGATCTCGTAGCGCAAAACAAAGCCACCATTAGACTCCCCGTGACGAGCTGCATCGAACCAATACCCATTTTATGCAAAACTAACAACTTTGAAATTAGACCTTTTTTACCTGACCTTGACCTGACCTCCACCATAAAGTGACCTAAACCGTACCTGATGGTCTTATAACCAACACCATTGAGTTGGAAATGAAAAAATTAGCCATAAAACATGCAACGCACAACCTTAGTAAAGTTCGGTTCATGTGGTGACCCCTGGTGACCTGACCTGTGACTTGACCTGGTATGACCAGTGACCTCTTATAGCAACATATGTACTAGACAAGTGACGCCCTATCGCTGATTTTCGATAAAATGCGTTTTACTCGGTGAATTTTCCGTTTGAATTCCGTTTGAATTTTCCGGATCTGTCCAGTAGTTTCGGAGATACGGGGGGGGGGCAAAAAATGCCCCCTAGTATTGCTAAAAGTTGAGTTTGAAAATTTGACGTCATCAATTTTCAACAGTTTTTTCGCTATAACTTAGCCAAAAAAGAGGTATCGATCTAAAATTTGGTATGTGAATAGAAGTCGGTAGGGGCTTTCACATATATTCCGTTTTTTCGAAAATCAAAAAACTCTGGATTTTTTCCTCGTAAATTCATTTTTTATTTTGGGGGTCAAAATTAAAAAATTCAAAATTTCGAGATAGCAGTTTCGTAGCCCTGATAATTCTACCTACAACTTTTATGTCCTTAACGTTTTTCTGTACTTCAAAGCTATAGGCCTGACAGCTCTACCCGCGAACCTTTTTTGTCGAAAATTGCATAAATGACGTCACTCTGACGTCATTAGCGGCCAACATATCATAGCCTTTGGAAAAAAAAATTTTGGTCACAATGTGTAAAAGCTACTCCCGGGAGGGTACTGAAAGTTTGGTGACGATCGGCGTAGCGGTTTTGGAGATATATGGAAAAACTAAGGGGGGGGGCAAAAAATGCTCCCCCTGCCTGGAAGGCTAGGACCATCTTTCTTCCAGCAACAACCGTCCTTATCGCCTGCCAAACCTTATTGGGACGCCGTTCAAACCTATTTCAAGCGTTCAAACCATATCATATGATATGATGTTGGTCCCATGCATTAGGGTTAGTGTCAAGGTCACCTGAAGGGTAGGTCAGGTCATTGACCTTTGGTGACCTCGGTTCACTTTTTTTACTTTTACAAGTTTTTAGGCTAGTTTTTAGAGCTGCGTCCGAATTTGGCAACCATCTGAACAATCAAAAAGTAGTTTTGGTGCCTTTGTAACATGTTAAGAAGCTGTCAAGAGGCGGTTGACACCTACCACGAATACCCGGCAGGACCCCTACTGGTTGACCCGACCCGACCTGACCTAAATGCAAGAAGAAATCATCTGTGATCAAAACTAACATGATATTTGTGATCAGCACCCCGAAAACCCCCATAACAGCCACACTTAACGACGTTTTAACAGGTCCCAACTTTCCCGACTTTTAGGTTATTGACCTCTGGAAAGTCAACCAACGACGTAGGATCTTAAAATTGGGTATCATCGGCTTTCTCTCGTCACGGACAACATACTGGTTTTTTCGCGAAGCTCTAGCTCGATCAGGGGACAAACGGCATGGGGGGTCGTTCGCGGCTGGAAAAAAAAAAAACACCAATACGGGCGAGGGTTAAAACTTAAATCACCGCAGATGACAAGCAGGGTCCTTGGATGATCGATAAGTATTCCCTGAAGCTGGGTTTCTAAGGTTGGCGAAGTCGGCACTTCCAAAGTTTTCCAAAGATAAAGCATTTCACTTTGATATTTGAGACAGTCTTACAAAAAAAAAAATGAAACCAGGAGAGAACATCAAACCAAGTCAACAGCATTAACAACACAAAACCTGTATTTTATAACATTCACGCCCTTCTCGACATGCTTCCGTAGCATATTGGATCCATTTAACACTCCCACACTCAGGGCTGCGGAGTCGATGGATTTTCAGCGACTCCGACTCCGGCTCCGACTCCGGCTTTCAAAAACCAGCTCCGACTCCGACTCCGACTCCGGGCAGAATTGTCGACTCCGACCGACTCCAACTCCCGACTCCGACTCCGCAGACCTAGCAGGGCTGCGGAGTCGACAGATTTTCGGTGACTCCGACTCCGACTCCGGCTCGGGTTTATAAAATCGACTCCGACTCCGACTCCGACTCCGGTCGTAACTGTCGACTCCGACCGACTCCGACTCCGACTCCGACTCCGACTCCGCAGCCCTGCCCACACTGTTAAAACATGAATCCAGAGCTGCGTGATGTGTTTGTGTAATGTCGGATGACGTGACGCCTGACAGTATGTGGTGGCTTCGCGTTGCATCGCTCTCCTGTGTGGTCGGCATAAGCCTGGCGAGATGTGATCGTTCAACAAACCGCGCAGGACAGGACGACTAGCCGTGCTTCCGGTCACTCCTGTGGACCTTCCCGTGTCCGATGAGACTTGATCGTTCAGGGAACCATGCCGTGAAGATGGATCAGTCAAACGGTCGCTCGCCCATGTGAATTCGCATGTGTGCGCCGAGGTCTGACAGTTGAGTGAACCGTGCCGGGCAGACGGAGCAGCCATGTCGCCGGCCTTCCGTGTGGATCCGAGCATGACTGATGAGATTTGCTTGGGTAACGAAACTGGACGGACACTCGTCACACTGGTACGGGCGGTCCCCCGTGTGAGTCCGCATGTGAGTGGTGAGTTCTGACCGATGGGCAAACCGTGCCGGGCAACTGGAACAGCCGTAAGGCCGCTCCCCCGTGTGGATCAATACATGTGTGGTGAGCCCTTTTCGTAGAGTGAACTGTGCTGCGGAGGTGGAACAGCCATGCGACCGTTTCTCTTTGTGAATACGCATGTGTTTGTTGAGATTTGTTTCCGTAAAGAACCTGGTCGGGCACTTATCGCACTGGTACGGCAGCACCTCAGCGTGAATCCGCATGTGTGTGTTGAGATGTGTTCGCGTAAAGTACCTGGAAGGGCACTTATAGCACTGGTACGGCCGCTCCTCAGTGTGAGTCCATATGTGTCTGTTGAGCTTTGCTCGCGTAATGAACCTGGACGGGCACTTATCGCACTGGTACGGTCGCTCCCCCGTGTGAGTCCGCATGTGTACGTTGAGATGTGCTCGCGTTGAGTACCTGGATGAGCACCTATCGCACGTGTACTGCTTCTCCCTGGGGTGAGTCCGCATATGTGCTTTCAGGTCTGCCTGTTGTGTGAACCGTGCCGGGCAGATAGAGCAGACGTACGGCCGGGCCTCCGAGTGCAACCGAGCATGCCTGACTAAATGAGATCGTTTCAAGAAACTGGACCGACATACATCGCACTGGTACGGCCGCTCCCCCACATGAATTGTCATGTGGTTTTTGAGGTTTGACCGGTCAGCAAACCGTGCTGGGCAGATGGAGCAACGGAACGGCCGCTCTCCTGTGTGCGTTCGCATATGTTTGTTGAGGGTTCCTCGTTTTGTGAATCGTGCCGGACAGACGGAGCAGCCGTGCCGCCGCTCCCCCGTGTGGGTCCTACGGTGTTCCCTCAGATGACCAGGCTGTTCAGCGGAGTACTGGCACCACTCGCACTGGAATCGGCCCTTGTTACCAAGGTGACCGTGCCGCGTCTTCAAGTGTTTATCCAGACGCTTTTGTCCCAAACAGTTGAAGTCGCAGTGGGGACACTGAAGTGTACTACCTGTAAGACAAAGACATACGTATGAGCAGGGGCGTCGCCACAGATTTTTGACTGGGGGGGGGGGGACGGATCGGCTGACCTAAACTTTCAGGTGGTGGTGGTGGTGGTGGTGGTGGTGGTGGTGGTGGTGGTGGGGGTGCCTTCCCCCTTTAGTTTTTTTCAATTTATCTCCAGAACCCCTGCGCCGATCGTCACCAAACTTTCAGTACCCTCCCGTGAATAGCCATTGCACATTGTGGCCAAAAATTTTCCAAAGGCTATGATAGACTGGCCGCTAATGACGTCAGAGTGACGTCATTTCTGCCATTTTCGACCCCAAAAAAAGATTTCGCGGGAGGAGCTGTAAGGCCTACAGCTTTAGAGATACAGAAAAATGTTACAGACATAAAAGGTGTAGAACTAAGAATGCTTCAAAACTATCTCAAATTTTCGAAATTTTCGGATTTGGACCACAAAAAGAAAAAAAGATTTTTATCATATAATAGCCGAAAAATAAAAAAAAAAAACAAAAAAGCGGAATATATGTGATAGTCCCTACCGGCCTTCTATCTACATACCAAATTTGAGATCAATACCTTTTTTGGCCAAATTATAGCGAAAATACTGTTCAAAATTGATGAAGTCATATTTTCAAACTCAATTTTTAGCAATTCTAGATCTCGTAGCGCAAAACAAAGCCACCATTAGGCTCCCCGTGACGAGCTGCATCGAACCAATACCCATTTTATGTAAAACTAACAACTTTGAAAGTTGACCTTTTTTACCTGACCTTGACCTGACCTCCACCATAAAGTGACCTAGGGGAAAGTGGGTGTATTGCGCCCTCCTAACCAATTGCGCCCACCAACATTCCCACGGATTCAGTGGCATGTTTTGAATTTTGTGTTCGAAAACATTATTTTCCCCACTGGACAGTTCCTTTTATGGCCCAAGCTCTCTGATAAAGCCAATCAGCAAGGCTCATTACGCCATCAAAGATGTTACGGCGTTTTCTTAGCTTTTTTTGCAGTATTTTGAACCGTTGGCTATAAAAATTTGTAATATTTGTGTGATTTTCGGAGTGATATTTAGAAAGAAAAACCCTTTTTTTCATTATATTTCACTGAAACAGTAAACTTCCTTCAACATCTTTATGATAACTTCTACGCGTTTATTAAAAGTACCTCGATTCTAATTGCGCCCATGGCAATTGCGCCAGGGGGGGGGGGGGCACAAATAGAATAATAGTGTAGCTATTGTATCCCGACAGTATGAATGCATCATTAACTGATTGCAATAAAGAAGGAATTTAATGTCAGGCAGGGGAGCAGCCCTCTGTCGCCAGTCCGCAAATTATTTCTCTTGTCAAACTTATAATGCAGCTGCCATTTAGGCTACGAACTTGTGGTGTACCTAATTGACAAAATACAACATTTTCAACATGGGCTCAGACGTGAGAGGTGACAGCTATGATAAAAAGTAAAAACTGATGTCATAAAGCTGTCGAAACGATAAAAATTATTAATTTTGAGAGAAACGATTGAAAATGTTACCGTATAGGCGCATACGATCACATATATCTAGTCGGTACTTGGTAGGGTAGCCTGGGGCAAGCGCCCCAGATAATTTATTTTGCTACATAGATTTTGTCCCACATCACCTGGAAGGCCAAATTTGTGCTCAATGCGTTCTTTGGACATTTTACTTTAAATTGCACCCCTCAAATTGATTCACTTATGATCGGACTCCAAGCTAGGAAGTGATTTGTGAAGCAACTGCAAATGGGGCATTTTGCCCCAACCCCAGGGCAAAACGCCCCACGGCCTGGGGCAAGTAGCCCCATACTTAAGATTAAAGATTTAACATGGTAGTTGGCTAAATCTTATGTGAGAGGTCCGTTAGACCTCTGGAGGCACGGCACTGAAGTTAGCACATTCCATCCTGTCAGGTGCTCAGCTATGACACTATTGTATGAGCAGGTTTTTCACCTACCTCATAAGACCAAATAATAAATTATTGCAATGCAAATGTTAACAAAATACTTCCTTTGCCATCCAGTTGCTGAGAAAAATACATATAAAGGCATAGAAACTTACTGTTCGCCAGCTACCGAACATTAGAAAGTGGGTAGCCCGAACAACACATGAGGTAAAACGCCCCAGGGGCTTTTTGCCCCGCGACCTACTGGGGCGTTTTACCCCATCACGTAGTTCGGTGAGAGAACAACGCCCTGCACTCCAGTAAGACATAATTTAACACGAACCAACCCGGCATGATAAGCGTTAGACAATAGTTGTTCAAAATACATAAAAGTCGTTAACCTAATGTGGACCATAAAAGAACGCCATGATACATAATCTGACAACAAAACATAAAAATCACTCAAAAAACACATTTATTGCTATATCTCCCGAAAGAGTCATCACAATTTCTTTCCAGTCTGCTCATATAATGATCATATAGTGCACGTTTTATAGAAGAGATGATGTTTCCCCAGAACCCTGTCAGTTCCGAGAAACATCGGTGAGGCGTTTTACCTCGGCGGGGCGACTTGCCCCGGTCTACCCTATACAGTAAACGTTTTCGTTGCACTTTTACAAGCGTACGGACACATTGTGGGACCGATTCCCTTCTTCCATATCATGATAAAGAGAGTACACGTGCAAGCTTTGTTACATAGAAATAGCCGTCACTTTCCCCACGTGTCGGCACCGTCCACCGACCCGGCGGGTCGGCGGACCGGTCCTTCATTGTGCAACCACCTTGCATATAACGCACAGGCACTGGCGAACCCCGAATCAGAATCAGAACCACCGTTGCAATACAAGTCTCGGCCCGCTCAGTCTTCTCTCATTCCGCGCTTCCGCGACAATGGTGGCAGCGGCGGTCGAGGGGACTTGTGCCCCTCACCACGGACCCCAGCCTCTACATCTGCACTGACATCGCAGACTGGTTAGTCCGTGCTCCGTGACGGTGTATCTCCTGTACGTCACGTCATCGACTAGGGAGCTGACCATCCTGGACTCGTCATCGTCCAGCAGCACCGTCTCCAGTGAGTAGCTCTGCCCAGCAAGACTATCTGCCCTGCGGCAAGGTCATCAGCTACCCTGGACTACTACGGAGCCCGCCGACAGCGTACGGCTCATCAGCCCGCGCCGTCCTCCTCAGCATCATCGAGTGATGGACACCACCTCGCTGAAGGACTCAAGATCGGAGGAGAGAAGACGAAAAGTACAACGCTAAATTCAAGACAAATTGGCACCGAAATCAAGAAAATTCACCCATTATGAACTTTTGCTGTATTTTCGTCAAAAAGTGACAGTGAAATTGTGCTGTGAAATTTGTTTTAACTTCGATGTGTTTCAAAAAACCGTACTGTTTCATTATCCGTTTTCGTCAGTGTTCTGTCGTTTGTTGTGCTTCATTGTGGTTGCTCACCCCAAAATTTACGGAGAAATTGCAAGTGCATTTAATTTTTGCCTGCACTTTGCCGTGTCATTTTGACACTAGTAAACGTAGAAAGAGCATACTCTCAACGGTATGAACATTCAAATACGTTAATCGTGGTCAATTCACTGAAATTATATTGTATTGATATTCGGCCAGAGATGCCGAGGGCCATGGAGATGCCCAGGGACGGTCCCCGCCAAGAGTGCGGAGGGATCGCCCGGTAGTAGGTGTAATTGTCACGAAACTTACTTATCTGTTCATACCATTTTGTGATACGCTCATATGGAAATTTCTTTCTCCGTCAGCTAAACGTTTCCTCTCTTTGTTATGATCGCTTCGGTTCCCTACGCTTCCCTGGGGGGAGGGAAGATAATGTGGGACCGATTCCCTTCTTCCATATCATGATAAAGAGAGTACACGTGCAAGCTTTGTTACATAGAAATAGCCGTCACTTTCCCCACGTGTCGGCACCGTCCACCGACCCGGCGGGTCGGCGGACCGGTCCTTCATTGTGCAACCACCTTGCATATAACGCACAGGCACTGGCGAACCCCGAATCAGAATCAGAACCACCGTTGCAATACAAGTCTCGGCCCGCTCAGTCTTCTCTCATTCCGCGCTTCCGCGACAACATGTAGGTAATCTACCTGGGCAAAAGCATCGCGATTTACACCTACATTTGTTATTTAACCAGCATGACTAACATTATGAATGTTTAAGTAAGCTGCAATGACATTAGACTGCAGGGGTGTATGCATTCCGTCTCATTCGCTTAGCCATGTTAAAGTATAGGGCGCAATTGGGTTCTAATTGCGCCATCCCCCTGGCGCAATTTACAGCAGTTGTTGGCAAATGCGCCCTTTTGCATCTTTCTGAAAAAGCAGCTGTCAGAAGCAAACGAAACATTCTTAATTGATCGGGAGGCTCTTAAATCGTAGCCAATAAGCTCCTCTTTGAAATGATTACCAGTGCATGCTTATATCTCCAGCGGTTTTCCTACAATTATCGTTTTTCCTTAAGGTGGCGCAATTCACCCTCCTTCCCCTAAACCGTACCTGATGGTCTTATAACCAACACCATTGAGTTGGAAATGAAGAAAAAATTAGCCATAAAACATGCAACGCACAACTTTAGTAAAGTTCGGTTCATGTGGTGACCCTTGGTGACCTGACCTGTGACTTGACCTGGTATGACCAGTGACCTCTTATAGCAACATATGTACTAGACAACTGACGCCCTATCGCTGATTTTCGATAAAATGCGTTTTACTCGGTGAATTTTCCGTTTGAATTCTGTTTGAATTTTCCGGATCCGTCCAGTATTTTCGGAGATACGGGGGGGGGGGCAAAAAATGCCCCCCCACCGCGCGGAAGGTGGCCGGGAGGCCCACCGCCTGCCGGGTTAAAGGGAGATAATGAGCTTTCTTTTTTCTTAAATAAAAATTACTCGACATCTATACTATTTCTACTGTAGTTTCTATAAAATATGAAAATTTCCTAGCACATTTTCGTATGTGAAAAAGGTTTTTATTTTTGCAAAAAAGAAGCAGTACTTGCAGTATGTATGTATGT